CACCATCCCACCCGTCATAACTTTTCTGCCGGTCCCCATCTCTCTATACACTTTCACCGCCTTTCGAAGCCCAACTAAACTTCGTCCGTGGTACCATTGCCAAGGGTCTAGTCTCGGTGACGTCTCTTGCAGATCCAAAGTACCGAGATACATCTTGATTTTCCCGCCAACACCGACTCAAGAGATCAACATCAACAGCGCATTCCTTACTTCCTCCGATTAGAGTTGATATATACCATATAATCTCGATAACCATGTCCGACAACGTCGGTCTCTCAACGCCTCGTGGCAGCGGTACTTCAGGCTATGTTCAGCGCAACCTTGCGCACATGCGCCCACGCGACTATGGCGCGCCCTATCCTCCTAAAGACGCCGACTCGCTCCGTCACAAGCAGCGACAGCCCGATAAAGAGATCTTAGAGCATGACCGCAAGCGTGAGGTTGAGGTCAAGGTCCTTGATCTGCGCGACACCCTCGAAGATGAAGGGTAAGCTTACCCCCCGCCCCCGTCCCTGGCCTCGCAAGGATACTAACGGTGCTCTAGCCTCGACGAGGAAGAAGTTGAGAAGCGATGCGACGAAATGCGAAAGAAACTACTGGCCGACCTCGAGAAACAAAAGAACAGCCGTGGCGGCGGCGGCGGCGGTGGTCCCGTACGGAAGCACTTCAAGAGCCATCAGGTGCACGAGATGGCAGACGCCAAGATCAAAGAGAGCGAGAGACTCAGGAGCGCTTTGAGAATAAGCAAAGACTACGAAGAGGGAAGCCACTGGAGGAGACAAGAGGAGAGACTCCGGGGCTCTGTGGAGAAGGAGACCAAGAGGGAAGACGTCGACTAAAGCACCGATTACGCAGTAGAGCTCTTGTTACGAAACGTGGCGTCAGGACTTGGGCATGGAATAGCAGGGAATAGGCGTTCAGGCGTTTGCATTGGAGGGCAAGCAAATACAGACACGCTGCCAGGGCATTATTCTTAAAGCAAATGGTACCAAGGATGATCTCATGGACTCGACAGCCGGGTCCGGTTTCAAATTATTGTTGGTACATGGGCGGAGATTTCTTCCGGCGTCTAGTAACACACAATTGGCATGCCGCCTCTTAATTTGTTATTTCTTCCCTGATGGCGGAACCCAAGCTTCTGGCTGCCAGCCCTCGCTTGGTCCACTGGCTTTCGCCCAAGGATCCTTGCCATATTTCTTCTTCGCATCGGTCGCAAGTTGAGCCTGATCCTCTGGCAGCTCTGTCGTCTTTGCGTTCGTGTTGGCTGCTTCCAGCTCCGGCGCCGTGGGCTGTGACCGCGCAGTGTTCAAAGACGGCAGAGGTTGACCAGTCTGCTGGCCTGGAGCATCGGTAAGCCTAGGCTTTGCTTCCCATCTCGCGTCGGCCTGCGCGGACAAAACTTTCATCCGCTCCTGTCTAAATGCCTCTCTTGTTTGTTCTTCAAGTGTCGGGGGGTCTTCTCGGGTGTAGCGCAGCCATTGATGCCACAATGGTGACACCTTCACGTCGGAGAGGTAGGTTGATCGGGGATAGTTGACAATACGGCGGAAGCGGCCGGGGCCATTCCCCCGGGACTCGCGAAACTCCCAGAAAGTATAGCCCTGCAGGTCACGGCCTAGAACCGAGCGTGTTAGTTCTCCTCGGACATTGACAATGGGGGTCGATGGGCCGGGGACGGGGAAGGGAACATGCCGACAAGGAAGCGTTTGCGCCATGGCAGTCTGAGCGACTTCCACTTGTACCACGCCTCTAAAATTGGTGATATCCGTGTTGAAGACATTTGCGCTGTTGAAATGGGTGGTTGGGAAAGAGATATCTTCGATCAGGAACCCATGGCTTCTAGATGCGAAAGTCGCCAAGTCCTAGAAAAGTAATGAGGTCAACCTTGGACTGCACCGCCACTTGAAATTTGGCCGAGGAATGGCGTATCTTATCGTCAGCCACATATTTCCTCTGCAATGGAAACCCGCGACTGAGCGTTCGCAACATCAGAGTTGCATTGGCCCCGCCAGCCACCACCGCACACGTCACTCCGCAAGACCGCGGCGGTCCAGCCGGACCCTGGGTCCTGTCACCTTATCCAGGTTCCCGCCAGCGGCGCCTGGCTCTAGATGCATAAACAATTAAAACATCCCCACCACGGCCGTTCTTCATCGGGCCTTCCAATCACTTCAACCTGCCACCCGACTGCCTCGATTCCCCCGCAAAACATTGGCCCAACACTTGTTTTCACCCACAAAACGACTGAAGACACGCGATCGGGGAAACATCCATCTCGTCTGATCAAGTCCCGCGCAACGCGCGCCGAACGACAGAAACTTGCATCCGTTATCTCAACTCCGTCATCGCCGGACCCCGCCGACGTCAGCGCCTAACCGCCACCCTACTGAAACGCCCTCGCGAAACCAACCTCAAAGCTCCTGAACCCGCAAGACTCGATTTGATACAACGATACGAAAGACTCTCTTGATCAATCGCCAGTCAACGACGCCATCATGGCCTCTGTATCGTCCTTGGACAAGGATTTGCGCAAATTGCGCCTCGACAAGTACACACCGGCTGCTGCAAAAGAAGTCAGCAGTTGGATCGAAGGGGTCTTGGGTGAAAGACTACCAGCAGGCGACTTGCTGGAGGGACTGAAGGATGGCGTTGCACTCTGCAAGTGCGTGGGTTAACATCTCCCATACTTACCAATACTGACCCAGATACCTTAGGTTGATCAACCTTGCGGTACCACCACCAGGCGTCAAGTTCAAGAAATCGGCCATGCCATTCGTACAGATGGAAAACATCTCTCACTTTCTGCGCGCCTGCAAACAACCTCCTCTCAACCTTCAAGACCACGATGTCTTCCTGACCGTCGACTTATTTGAACAAAAAGACCCTGCCCAAGTGCTCCAATGCCTGGGCGCTTTCAGTCGAGCCGCGAACGCAGCAAACCCAGCCAAGTTCCCGACGGCAATCGGAAGCCGGAGCCGGGGAGGAGTGATGAGTCCCCAAGGAACTGGTCGCGGAACCCCATCGCCGACAAGGTCGCGCGGATTCTCCAATGCATCAGGCTTCGGCTCGCCTCGGCCTGCTCTGACCAGCGCCAAGACTGGAGACTCCGGCTCGGGTCGCTGGAGCCCTACTAAACCTACTTCCCCGGTTACCAGCTGGAGCAGAAAGGAACATGAAGGCGCCACGTCTCCCGCTTGGAACATCGCCCAATACGGCTATATGGGCGGTGCCAGCCAAGGAAACCTAGGAATCTCATTTGGCAGTCGGAGGCAGATCACGAGTGCTGGCCCTGCAGTGCCTAGTTTGGCCGAGAAGGAGCGCATTCGAAAGGAGAAAGAACTCGAGGAGGAGTATCAGCGCCAACAGCAACAGCAAGAGGATGCGGAAAGGCGTAAGAAGCTGGAGGACGAACGCGAGGCTATGCGAAAACAAGAAGAAGAGGAACAACGACTACTGAAAGTGAGGCAAGCGGAAGAGGACGCCAAAGCGGAGAAGCTCGAATGGGACAGGCAGGAAAAAGAGTGGCATGCGAGGGACGAGGATCGCCGCAAGAAGGAGGCTGAAGCTCAAGCACGCTTGAACGAAGAGCAAAGCCGTCTAAGGAGCAAGAGCGACGCACGACTCCGGGGCCAGTTTCTGAGCCAATATCAGTCTGAGCAGGGCATCAAAGCACAGAAGACTGGAGCCGATCGGATTGCTGAGCTGGAGAGAGAGCTCGAAGAGGCCAGGGAACGCGAAAGGCAGTATGAACTTGAACGCCAGGGACGAACGGGCAGGACACTGGCCGTCACCAAAGACCCCAAGGAACGCGTTCGGTCTAGGAGCCGGCCTTCCGATGGAACCCCTAGCCGTCAAGACTCATGGTCCAGAAATGAGCGTGAGGTTCTCCAGACGGCGTGGTCGCAACATCAAGACTCGCATCAAGACGACGAACCCCCCGCGCCGCCACCAAGATCGCCGAGACCTCTCCCCGATCCGATGGCGGTCGCTTCGCCTCCTCAAAAGGCTGTAGCGCATACGACTGGTGGTCGGCCCCTCCCGGATCCTGCTGCTTATCAGGCGGCCGCGCGGGCCCCGCCTAGCCGAACTGACAGATATCTCAACAACAACGCAGCTCCTGCGCCATTGGTCGCCAAGCAGACATACTCACGCGAGCTTGGCGCTACTGCCGAGCAAGATGGCGAGGACCGTCGGCGTGCTCAAAGCCAGACCAAGACTAAGGCGGGTGGTTGGGCTTCAAAGTCGCTGCTCGAGCGAGAGATGGAGATGGAACGTGAACGCCAGCGTGAGTGGGAGGAGTCCCAAAAAGAGACGGCCAAGGCGGTTCCCAGTGGCAACGGAGTTGACGGTATCGGCGGTGGCATTGGAGGCCGCTGGGATGTGAGCCAGTGGGCGGGATACACTGGGGGAGACAACCAGAATCGGGGTGCTCAGGGCATCGGGGCAGGTCGTAGACAGATTGTCGGGCCCAGGCCGCTGCCCAATCCTCCTCGTTAAGAGATTTTGTCAGATAGAAGGTGGTTTTCACTGTTTCCTGAGCGTAGACAGGCGCCTAATCCGCATGAACCGGGCCAAGGGCGGTTGTGCATGATGGAGCATTGGCCTGGCAATTACCGATCTTGTAATGAAGAGAACATTCACATGAACCTGACTAGTACCGGTTTACTACATATGGACCCTGGGCGCCATGATAGGAGAGTTGAAATGAACGCATTCTGTGAATTTCGAGTGTGTTCTACCTTCTCTCTCTCGATTATCAACACCAGTCGTCTTATAAGCCTCTCGGTTTCTTGTGTCTCTTGAGACAGCCTTGTTGATGGAACTTCCTCTTGCTTCTGTTGACATCAGATTTGTAGCGGTACTCACGCGCAAAGTTTATGTATAAGCCGCGCAATTGGACTCATGAATGTGTGATTGGGTTGCTTTTCCAAATTCACCACTGAAGAGAAGGATGGAACTTATCTCTCAAAAGCTTCTAGGTTCGTAATCGCCATTCCAAACTACCATGCGGAATCTGGCCAAGCCCCTGGTATCTTCAACGGCCGTTTTTCTCTTTTGAGATACCCAGATCGATAGAGTTTTTTCAGCTGCCTTCTGTTGAACCTCTCCTGCATGAGTTTCTGGGCGTATTGGAAACTTGCAGGAGGATTGTCGTCGGTATGTCGATGGCTGCAAGCAAAAAAGGCCCACCTGTTTGGTTCATAGTCCCGCACAAAGTTGAAAACAAATGGCCACTCCGTTTCATTGAAAATAGAGACCTCGCAAGATTTCCACAAAACATGCTGCCGACAAGACGTGTTCTCTATTATCGCCAAGTCTCCGAGATCGGGCCAAATGTTGTCTTTGAAACGTTTGCCAAAGTTTTTAAACTCGATTCTGACTTCATATGCTTTGCTGTCTGGGTCGACATATCGGTAAAACAGAGGGATGTCAAACCCATCAATCTTTGTTCTACCTGCCACTGTAGCCCGTGCCCTGGTCTCGTTCCAAGGGACTATCCGATCGATTAATTGCTGAAAATAAGGTTCTTCGCGTTGGAGATACCTGGCGACATCAACTCCAGCTACCAACAAAATCTTTACCCAGTGTGAAAGGGCAGCCTCGACTTCATAGTGGCAAGGCGAGCTATGAATGAGATGAGAAAGTACAGTTCCAGGCCATCGAGAGAAACTCAACTGATAGTAAGTCCGGATGTTGCAGATTCTGTGAATATTCACGCCTTCGTTGATCAACTCAACAAAAAGGCGAGTCCAGTCGCTTGTTCGCCGACCTTCTGGGTACCAAAACGGATCATCATGGACTTGTATCACCAAAAGGCGAACTGCCATGTCCCAGACAGCATCGAAGAAAGCTTTTCTCTCCATTTGATCCACGGCAGGCACTCTGCACCGTTTGTATACAACAATCAGAGAATCTAGATCTTTGACACAACCGGCTAGTAGCCTAAATCTCATGGGTCTGGAGAGTTGTGTGAGTTGAACAATTTCATCTACTTCAAGAACACGGCGCCGAGCATGAGAAGGCTCCAGTTGATGATTAATCAACCCGGCCCAGTGGTCAGGCCTACAGATGCTAGCCATCTTGTTAGCCCGCATACCTGGACAATATATGTGTGCATTCACGGTCTTACCTCTCATCTATGCACAGATCAAGATTCTGCTGGGCGAGGAAGCGGCAAAGAGACGGCTGGTTACAAATCGCTGCCGACTGTGACCGACAAGAAGTTAGTCCTCCCAAGATCTCCACCGAGTGCTGAACACCAGATCTTACCTCAAACAGCGTCCTATCCCCCAGCATGGTGCCTAAAGTGATTGTCCTGGTAGAGAGTAGGTCTTGCAGCGCTGGCAAGTCTCCATCGCACATAATATACAACATCCTCTCTACCAGCTTTCCGTCTTTCTCTTCAGTGAGAACATGGCGGACAGCGAGGGCGTAGACCATGGGACTCAAGTTGCTCATGGACCAGTTCAATTCTATCCTGTAGGAAAAACTGCTGTGCCCGAAAGTGTAAGTCTTGATCTCGCTTGTATTGGACACCTCCGGTGCACCGTGAGAGCTAGACCTCTTGAGAACTGTCCTGGTTTGATTTTGAAATTGAAAGCCGAATGCTGTGACCGTCTTCTGATCACCTGCTTCCACCATTGTTGTATGTCTTGGCTCGGATGGCAGGTCGCCGTTGTGATCTTGTTGCAAAGCGGACTGCATATGAATAGGGCTCATGTTTGAGTACTCAGATGCTTCGGTCTTGTGGTGAATGGTGAGCTGCTGGACGATGTTGCACCTAGAGCTATCACAGAGTCAGTTTGGAAAAATCAGAAGTAGGACTCAGAAAGCGCACAGTATCTCCGCAGTCATCATATGCTGCAGGTAGTTCAGATCATCATCCAGCCACTTGCTCAACCGAGATATGTCATCTTTGCATTCCAGGAATGCCAAACCCATGGTGTTGAAGGGACGTCTCTTTTCACTTTTCCGTTCCAGCTTTGTGGCGATGGCATGGATCTCGGCGAGCGTCGATGAGATGCTTCTGAGAACACATACCCCCCAGGTCCTGATGAGATCAGAGCACTGTCTCGAAGATGCGTCTCCCTCGAGACTGTCCTTGATCGCACCGCATATTACCTCGACTCTTTCGATCTTGAGTGCCAGCCGGTTGATCTCCGCCGATGCAGACCGGTAAGTTGTGACGACTCTCTTGACTTTGATGGCAGAGTCGATGAGCTGCAATGAGAGCCCAATCACTCCGATAGCTGCCTCCATCGATGATGAGGGCGATGTACCAGGCGCGTGGGACCGCGACTAACAGGCGACACGAGGAGACGCGAACGTTCACAAGAGACTTGAGAGAGAAGGATGAAGCAATTCGACATTCTACTGTCGAGCAAGAATAAGTCAGCGAGACGAGGCTGTCAGGCAGATTTACCCCTCCCGGACCCTACATGCGACCATACAGTCGTGGCCCAATAAGACCTTGCCGCAGATAGCTTCGCCACAGCTATCTTGATTGCACATGCAGTTGGTTCCATTTCCGACCGTAGTATCACCCATGGTAGTGAGTTGCTTCCTCGCCAGACGTTGGCTATCGAATGGGGGTATTGGAAAGTGAGGTGATCTTTTCCGTTTCATGTTTAACAAAGAATGCATCTATTAGGGGTTGTATAAAACCCTTCTACTCGGTGCCATGTACTAAGTATCTAATTATGTAAGTCCTGAATGCTGGTATGTGCATCTTTCCCCTTCGTCCATTGTAAGTTATCTACTCAAACGTAAAAGTCAAGCGGCAACTTGAGCCACTCGCACTGCTCGACATCCTTGAATCCTCTCATCATGTTGTCTTTCACGGGCCAATCGATGGCCCTCATCTTCATGTCGCCTTTCACAGACGGCTCCCAGGGCCCGGCCTTTTCCAATGCCCTCAACGTGCTGTCGAACCCTCTGGCCTTGAGGAAGGCCTTATCCGGATTAGGATCATAAGTCCTTGCGAATGAGGTGAATGTGTCGACGAGATATTGCATCCAGGGCAAGTCGTTCTCGTCTCGGAGCGGGTTTCCCTGACGCACAAGATTGCCAAATAGCGGAAGTAACTCGCCCGAGTGGCATCGTAGGTTGTTGATGGGCGACTCAGGATTTCCATTGGGGTGAGCCTTTGACTTCGGTGCCTCGCAGATGTCGAGTCGCGGCCATTCGGGCGTCTGGTACGTCCGCTCAAACTCATAGTAGTACACCTTGGACCCAAGGACGCCGTTCTCCAAGCCCGCGTACGCCGTAGCTTGATCTACGCAGCGGAACATCGCGTCGGTGGCGAGCCTGGCACCCACCCCGAACGCCGCCCGCGTCTGGTTCCTGACATCTGTCGGAGGGAAAAGACGCCGTGGCGGAGCTGGGAGGCCCTGAGATGTGAGCCACTGGGTATCGTTGAGGACTGTCCCATTCCGCGGGAGAATCAGAAACGGCAAGCCGTCCTCAGATGTGATGCCCATCATGACGTTGACATTGAGAGAGTCGCCTTTGAGAGACAACTCATCTGTCGTCAGGTAGACACCATCGTTGACGAGGTACCGCGCTCCTGGTCCGAGACTTCCAAGCGGCGCGTCTCTGAGACAGTCGAGCTGCGACGTTGCGTTGGTGCAGTTCGTGGTGCCGAGAATGGCGTTACCCACGAGGTCTAGCTGTTCCTCGATGGAGAAGTACTTGGAGTATGACGTCCCGTACGCCAAGCCTCCAAGGTTGCTGAGCGGGATCGCGCCCGCAAACTTCCCGGCAGCCTTTGGAGACGCCATCATCGCGCGGACGGAGGCAGCTCCGGCGGATTGGCCAAATATGGTGATCTTGCTTGGGTCCCCGCCAAAGTCTCGGATGTGTTGTCGGACCCAGTCCAACGCCAGAATCTGGTCAGCGAGACCAAAGTTGCCATTTGTCTCGCCATCGTCAATGGCCAAAAAGCCCAGAGACCCAAGCCGGTAGTTTATGGTCACGACGACTACGTCGCCACGAGATGCCAGATTACCCCCGTCAAACAGGGGATCACTACCAAAGCCACTCGTCAGAGCTCCACCGTGAATCCAAAACATGACCGGCCGGAGACCGCTGTCGATGCGTCTGTTACGGGGAAGATACGGCGTGTAAACGTTCAGGTACAGGCAATCTTCTGTGCCGCCGAACCCCTGATAGCAAGGGGATCCGAATTCGAGTGCGGTAGCATTACCGCCAGAGCCTCGATACATTTTAGGGTATGCGAACCGCTTCGTTCTCGTAGCGTAACGCATGCCATGAAATCGGAAGCTATTCCTATCGCGAAAGCCAAGTACTGCTTCTCTGTTGGAGTAGACCACAGTCTGCCACCTCGGACTGCTATCTTGGGCTATACCGTTGGAGTATGGCGCCGTCTGCGTGCACAGAACGGTATTCGTGTCGGATGTGTCGGCAGAGGAGACCTCGCCTTTGAGGTTGATCGTCTGGGGATCATCGCCGTTCTTGGGCATGACCCAGATTGCCGACAAGTCAACATCGGGCTCTTGATAGTCGAGAATGTCTAATATCCTCTGCGTGGAGTTTGAATCTGCTTCCCACAGCTTTTCGCCTAGATCTTTGCACATGGACTTGGCCTCTCGTAAAGGCACCCGGGCCCTGAGGAAGAGAGCGCTTGCATTGGCCGCTGGGCTTTTCGAGTCTAGAAGGTTGCCATTGTCAGTCAGAGGTTTATGAATATGTGACACTGGTTGCGACTCACCCAGGAGGTCATTGTCTCGAATGATGGTTATGTCGGTCCTGAGGTCCTGGGTCGACGGTACGCACGAAACAGCTGCAGCTAGTAAGGCGACCAGAGCGAGCGCTGCCGCAGGCATGACGTCTTACACCGAGACCGAGATGACAATTCGCCGAGAATAATATCGGAACCCATATATACAAGCATGGAGAAAATCAACAACCAAAACCAAGGAATGGATTGTAGAACTGTCTGCTTCTTTCTTCTGAGCAACGTTGACCTGGAAATACATCACAAGTGGCGGCAGTCACTTCAACATTAAAAGAGTTCCAGGGACATCCGCTCAACTTAACCCAACCGGACTGTCCATTGCGCCGAGTGAACAGGACAGAAGCAGGCCAAGGATCTCCCAAGCAACAAGGCGAGCGGGAAAGGAAGAGTCGGCACGGTCCGACTAGGTGCCCAAGTCTTGCTCTTCCTCGCAACTCAGAACGACACACTTGGCCCTCCTCCGTCCTCACCGCGGGGCCCTGGGAATTAAGCTCAGGCACCAGAGTCGATCGAAGCTTTGGGATCAGCCTATCCGTGTTAGAGTGATTTCTCTACCGGGAAGACCGCAGGGCTGGAATGGCAGACGAGAGAGACCCCGAGCAGGGAAGCATGATGGACGCGGGCACTCTACGAGTTTTAGGCTGGGCGCATGAGATCGCGCGGGGGCCGATGCTTCTGGTCCGAGCCAGGAGCAGGCTGGCGGAAAGGTTGCTCAGGTTTCAAAACTCAAGGCTCTCGCGCGCTCTCGCGCGCCGTGCTCATTCGCCTGGCCCGCGACAGTCATACACACAAACGACGTGGAGGTATCGCGTTTGGCGCAACTTCGATTTCTAACTACTCCGACGGGCCGGTAGATTCTTGTTTGACACTGCAACCCTCACTCCACCAGAACTTGATGGTGTGGGTGTCGTTGGGGCATGTAGGATAAGTTTGGGGTGCTATTCGATTGCCGAACACCCGAAATTTTGGCAAAATGTCGTAATCGGAGCCGTTGCTGTTGCATTCTCGAGTATGATCTACGAACTCGGATCAGTGCAGGGTGGATTGATGTAACACCATGTCAACATCCAAGAGCGAGGGCATGAAAACGAGAAGGTCTGGCCAAGATGAGAAAGCTCGTTGTGAGATGAACGACAACGGCGTCGGGAAACGACATGGATCAATCTGACTTCTATTGTTTCCATGCAGCACCGTTCGATTGTTCTATCGTTCCATGTCTCTCTTTACACTTTTGTTGTTGCGGTAGTGGCAAGACGCCAAGAAGGACGGCGAAACAACGGAGACCGTCCGTCATGTTCGCCATCTGATGCGTGCCCTTTGCACATTTACTGAGTCGTCCCTTGTGAGTTAAACTCTATGTTCTGAAGAGGATTCCGTCCCGACGAGATAAGAGGACTAGGTCAAACAATGCCTGACTCACGAAGGTTTATGGAGAGGATGAGGCTCAACATGGAACAACGTCAACCCTTCCTGGCATCTAACACATGTCACAATGAGACAGACAAGTGTTGTGTCGGATGAACCGCGATTTTTGATTTCTCTGGCTACTGATAGCTACGCAGTGGACTGCAACTACCAAATGCACAATTCCTTGGCGGTGTTCTCAAAGTTGATGATTGTGAACCAAAGCTAACCCAAGTTTCCCGAGTATTCCCTTGTATCCTTCTCCAACCTTTCAGATATTGCTGGTGATTCCAGACGTCTAATCGTGCTTCAGAGGCGGGTCGGACTTGCAACAGTCGTACTTGTCCGTTGCGACGATCCAGAAACTGAGTGGGAACTCCTTGCAGCCGATACTGCCTCTGACTTCCATGCTATCGTCCTTGCCGCAGTGATGGAAGCTCTGAGCGAAGATGCCATACATGTCGAGGTTGCCGATCTTGGAACTCTTGCCATTGATCGGGGAACCTTGAACATTGGCGAATTCAGAACCGACGGCGATGAGACAAGTGCCGATTCGCATGAACTCAACCCACTTGGTGCCACGGAGATCAAGGTCAGAGAAGGTCCAGGTACCGGATGTCTTGGCCATATGCTTGTATATCTCCATGCAGTCCTTAGCCAAGGCCTTCTGGTCGCGGTTGTAGCAGGTAACGCCTTGTCCCTGACAGACCTTCTCGGACTTCTCGCTTTTCTGAAAAAAGTGACGTTTGGAGAAGGAAGAGGTGCTGAAGTGATTGATGATGGGAACGGGAATGAGGGTCTCTCTGGCAAGGAGAGTATCGTCGGTGTTGATGTCATCCTTGGCGATGTTGTCGACACTCTTTTTGGTTTGCTTGACTTCAACAACCGAGGAGACCGCGCCCTCGGCATCGATGGAGTCGGCTTTATCGACCTTCGGAACGGTGAAGATGGCCTTGCACTTGCCGTTGCCGAGAAAGACCTCGTGGCAGATAGCCTTGGGACAAGGCGGCTCAGTAAAGGCGCAGAGAGAGCCACAGGCAGGATCGCGGATGATTCCAGGACCCTGGGCAACCGGGTTGGCGGCGACGGCAAGCGCCAT